TAGAAATATAGTAAGATTGTAGAAATAAATGAAAAAAATTACAAAAAACCGCTTATCATTGTTTGACCTTGAAAACATTTAAGTCATGGTTTGACATTAAAAACAAATGAAGGCTGTCATTTGCCAAATATTTCTATTCACTTATAGGCTAAGGCAATATTAAAATAAAATAAATTCATGATTATAAATAAGAAAAATGTAATGTCTACATTATTATTGCCGAAAAGCAGCTGAGATGCGCCAAAAATTAAAACAATATAATATAATAAAATAGAGTCAACATGCGTCTGACGCATGCGTCGGAGTTCTGCGCATTATTATACATTTTAACAAAAATAATGAAATGATCAAAATTATATAAATTAATATCTTAATAAATCACTGTTTTATACTGTTCTAGGAACAATATTAAGCTAGATATGAAAATGGTGTTTTAAAGTTCTCAAAATAAGCTTTAAAATAAGTATTTCTGCATGTAAAATGAGTGAGCTATCATGCAAATAAAAGAGGCATACAATGTTTTTCATTTTCATTTGAATCAAATAGTTTATGAGTGCCATTTCCACCAAAATTAAAAATAATCGTATTCCATCTAGAATTAACTTGGTTTAAGAGATCTTGATGGATTCTAGAAAATACCATAACTTTAGTACAAACGATTTTAAAAACTCATGATTTCATAAAAAAAATCCATTAAAAATATAACCAATTTTATTATTTTTTTGTTACACAAACATTGATAGAGTTATAAATGTTTAAAGAGTGCGCGGCTGTCCAACCAGAGTGTCTTTCGTCTTTTGTCGTTTCAAAATAAGAGAAGTTACGGTAAAATTTATGATAAAGAAAGTTGTAGCGCATTTAATTACATTTAAAATAGTATATTACAAGTTATGATAAAATCAGAATTAAAAGAGTTATAATCCAATTAATGCCGGGGTTGGTGAAGGAGTGCAAATTGTTTTCACTTCTGAACTTAAGATTAAGATTAGCCTATTTCCAAAATATCAAGCAAATTGGACCATAGTAAAAAAAATCGCAGAGCACACACTTTTTTCCTCTCTATTTACTGCAATAATTTTGTTTATTTTAGGTTGAATAAAGCTCATGTAAAGAGAATTTGACAAATTAATTTACTTCAAATATGAACTTAAGCAAAAATGTATATTGAATTATTAGTGAGAAAAATGTAATTTAGATATTTAAATTACTAAAAGCGAGTTAAAATAAGGTATAAAATTATAAAAATTATAGGCAACATTATTGAAGCAATTATTTTGGGTAGAAAATTTCAAGGTGATATTGTACTTTTACCGCGCATGCTATATATTAATTCTTTCTGAATTTGTTATACCTCTAAAAGACTTCAATTTCCAATACGTATATCTGATGCTATAAATCACAAAGGCAGACGATGATTTTTTGTGTAATAAATTTGGAAAATTAATGTTTTAGTCGTGAATAAACAACTAGCTGTAAGTGGAATTCTGTCTTAAGGCAATTAAGGCATCGTGCCTTAAGGCAAATTGCTGAAACTTCCCGTACCAAAAATTATTTTTTTAAAAACGATTAACATTTTTGAAAAAAATTTACTTCGAAAAAATAAGATTTTTGACAAACAATTAGACAAAAAATTACTTTTTTTTTGGAAAAAAAAATTTTTTTTATTTTTTTTTTTTTTAATTTTTTTTTTTTGCAAAAAAATGTTTTCTTTATTTTGACATATTTTGAAAGATCTAAACTTTTTTTCAAAGCAATCGTACTGCTTTAACTGCATAAAGACAAAATATCAAACCGCGTAAGCGCCGCGTCGACGTCTAACGCGTAAACATTGGTACGGAACCCTTAGGAATGTAAACCAAAATTATACTTATTGTAAAAATCTCTATAAAATATCTGATAATTTGATGTGCATATGTCTAATGATCATTTTTGACCGCCAAATGGCATTTTTTTTTACTTTTTTCGTTAGATCTCCGAAACCGCTAGACCTGCCTTTATGAAAATTTGATCAATTCTTCATCTTGTCAATACAAGTCAAATGTTTTTTGAATTATTAAAATCGGACGCTCCGTTCTCTTAAAAACTGAGTTACCGTTTTCGGCACTTTTTGCCCCGTATCTTTAGAACGGCTGGACCTGCCTTTGTCAAAAACTAATCAGCACGTCTCCTTATCAATACGAATCGAATGTTTTTTGAATTATTAAAATCGGTTGATCCGTGCTCCCGAAATCGTCGACGAAAATTTGTATCCGCACATACATACACACACATACATACATACATACATACACACACACACACACATACACACACACACACACACACACACATACATCCATTTTTTCTAAGGTATGCCAAAATGTTAAGAAACCTCTGAAACGTAAAGATATATAAAAATTTTTAACTTCCCGTAGGGTAAGTTATAGTAATCGCAAAAAAATCGAAAATGAAATTTTTTATATATCTTTACGTTTCAGAGGTTTCTTAACATTTTGGCATACCTTAGAAAAAATGGATCTATGTGTGTGTGTGTGTGTGTGTGTGTGTATGTGTGTGTGTGTGTGTATGTATGTATGTATGTATGTGTGTGTATGTATGTGCGGATACAAATTTTCGTCGACGATTTCGGGAACACGGATCAACCAATTTTAATAATTCAAAAAACATTCGATTCGTATTGATAAGGAGACGTGCTGATTAGTTTTTGGCAAAGGCAGGTCCAGCCGTTCTAAAGATACGGGGCAAAAAGTGCCGAAAACGGTAACTCAGTTTTTAAGAGAACGGAGCGTCCGATTTTAATAATTCAAAAAACATTTGACTTGTATTGACAAGATGAAGAATTGATCAAATTTTCATAAAGGCAGGTCTAGCGGTTTCGGAGATCTAACGAAAAAAGTAAAAAAAAATGCCATTTGGCGGTCAAAAATGATCATTAGACATATGCACATCAAATTATCAGATATTTTATAGAGATTTTTACAATAAGTATAATTTTGGTTTACATTCCTAAGGGTTCCGTACCAATGTTTACGCGTTAGACGTCGACGCGGCGCTTACGCGGTTTGATATTTCGTCTTTATGCAGTTAAAGCAGTACGATTGCTTTGAAAAAAAGTTTAGATCTTTCAAAATATGTCAAAATAAAGAAAACATTTTTTTTCAAAAAAAAAAATTAAAAAAAAAAAAAATTAAAAAAATTTTTTTTTCAAAAAAAAAGTAATTTTTTGTCTAATTGTTTGTCAAAAATCTTATTTTTTCGAAGTAAATTTTTTTCAAAAATGTTAATCGTTTTTAAAAAAATAATTTTTGGTACGGGAAGTTCCAGCAATTTGCCTTAAGGCACGATGCCTTAATTGCCTTAAGACAGAATTCCACTTACAGCTAGTCATTTTCGATTTTTTTGCGATTACTATAACTTACCCTACGGGAAGTTAAAAAATCATTCATTTATACATCCACACCTACAGGTATGACTGAAAATTGGATAACCCTTGGCATTAAAATAAATCGAGCTATTGGAAATAAATTTGTGCTATTAATTGCAGTGTATAATGTTTAATATACAATTTTATTGAACATATTTTAATATTTGTTAAAGGGATAATTAAAGTGTAACAGTGGGAATTGAGAATCATAACTTTATTTGAAGCAGTTCTACATTTAATATCACTCATATTATGCAAATAGTAATTCGAAAAACAATATTATTTTTAAATGAACGGTGTAAATATTAGTATAGGATATTAAAAAATGCAGATGTGGGTTTAATTTAAAATTTTTAAATTAATATATTAAAATTATTTTTAAAACTAAAATTGATATTAACAAGTATGTATCAAATTTTTTTGTTTTTGTAAATTAATAAATGTTTGTTTATGTAAATATGTATTATTTTTATGTATTCGAAAACTTTCCTTTCACTATCATAAAAATATTTTCATTCTTATATGTGAAAATGATGCATTGTTATTTAATCCAGATAAACTATTATTTTTTGTTCTACTAATTAAAAATAAAAAAAATATATTTACTATTCATAAAATTGATCAATAAATAAATTTAGTCAAATACTGCTTTAAATTGCACTAAATTTGCAGATAAGTTTTTGTTATTACAGAATATTCGAGGAAAAATTTATTTTTTATATAAAATTCGAAAACCGGTTAAAACCGGTTTCCTGAAATGCCGGTTTTTGTATAAGCCTGCCATAGCGGCGAAGATTGTGACACTATTCCATCCTTAGAATTGAATAACGTAATCAAACAACAGTGTGTAGAAAGATGGCAAATATTCTTTACAGAATCGACAAAAATAAAAGGCTTCACATACGCATTAACAAAGAGTAAGGTATCGCAAAATACGTGGTTGGAAAACCTGGAAGAAAATAGAAGATTTATCTCGGTTATCTCGGATAGATTTGGACGCACTTTCTAAAAATCACTTGAAAAGAATAGGCATCACAATGGACACATGCGATTGCGGAAGCGGAAAAGAAACAATAAATCACATGTTTTGGGAACGTAATTTATACCAAAATGAAAGAAGGTACTAATAATAAATTTACAGACAGAAAATGTGGACATATTGCAATAGCAATATGTCCACTCTGATGGGAAACTTTTTAAGAAAAAATTACCTGCACTCAGAGGCGAGGTTCACTCAGCTTTTGGCAAAATAACATTTTGTTTGAAGTGTGCATGTGTATATATATGGTTCTAATAAACTTTCATTTAGTAAGTATTGTACATTTTTAATGTCGAAGAAGTTCAAAAGATTTTCATATAGACTCTCTACTATACTTAGGTATATACCTAAGTATAGTAGAGAGTCTATTAATATGCCTTCAAACATAATTTTTGCTTCAACTAAGATAGTAAATTTAATATTTATCCTTTAATAATTAGTTCAAACTCGTAGAGTTATCATAATTTCAAAATCATATATAATTCATTATAATATTATTCACATATTTCAACTATAATTTCTAATATTTCAACTCACCCTGTAGTCATTTAACAATGCAAAGATTTGTTTTTTTTTATCTTTAGGTGCCGAACTATAAATCAGAGCTGCTTGTATTAAATCGCTATGATTTAAATGCAATTTCATACTACGGTGCGATTGTTGTAGCGCTGGAAAATGGGCGACTACTTCGGAAGCAATGGATATGAGTTCCGCTTGTACTAATAACAGAGTATGATCTGTAATAAAAATTGTTTAACAAAAATTATCAAATCAAATATCACACACTATTATATATATCCATATACACACACACACACATATATGGATATATAAATCAATTTTGCAGGTAAATAATTTTTGTTTCTCAATTTATTTGTTTATATTTTTCTTTTTTCATGCTTCATTTTTAAGAATAAGTGCATAATTAATTCTCTTATAAAAAAAATATTATTCTGTAATCATCATCATTAATATTGTTATTCTATATTTAAATATTGTTCTTGACTGCAGAACCTAATGATGGAACGTACCTAGTTCCGAAACGTCGTAATTAAACATCTACAAAAAACTTATTATTTTTTATTCATTGGAGTGATTGTTCGGAAAAAAACATTTATCAACTTATATATATATATATATATATATATATATATATATATATATACTAACTGACCCGGCAAACGTTGTTTTGCTAAGTAAGGTATTTCTAAACAATTTCTAGAGAATAAAAAAAAGAATACTTTATTTTAGGAGAGTAAGGATGTGTAGTTTGAATGGTATAGACAATGAGGTATTATAAACACAATAAACTCCAAAGTCTACTTGTATAATAATAAATTATATAATTCATAATAACAATATTCGTTTGTCCATACTTTGTTAATACAATCAAACTGGAAGTTTACACTTTCAATTAATTATAAACTCGGTTGTGTCAAACTTATGTAAAAACAAAAGCAAAATAAATAATATTGATATATGAAATTATACACAATCTCAAGGAAAGAAATGTAGGAGAAAAGTCAATAATCTTAGTATGGCTTGAAGGACATGCAAATATAAAAGGTAACAAGATAGTAGATGCTATCTTGCCGACATGGTTTGTCGGTTTTCAAAAACCGGTTTTAAAAACCGTTTTTTTGATGAAAATTGTGGGATCCGAAAACCGGTTTAAGTAGAATAAGTCGGTTTTCACTGCAAATATGGAAATATCTTATATATAAAATTCTTCTGTAACTATGTATGAATGATTAATCCTCCTAAACTATAATTCGGATTTTCATGAATCTTTCTGAAGTTTGTTCGGGAAATTTTCTACAATTTTTAGATTCATAGAAATATAGTAAGATTGTAGAAATAAATGGAAAAAATTACAAAAAACCGCTTATCATTGTTTGACCTTGAAAACATTTAAGTCATGGTTTGACATTAAAAACAAATGAATGCTGTCATTTGCTAAATATTTCTATTCACTTATAGGCTAAGGCAATATTAAAATAAAATAAATTTATGATTATAAATAAGAAAAATGTAATGTCTACATTATTATTGCCGAAAAGCAGCTGAGATGCGCCAAAAATTAAAACAATATAATATAATAAAATAGAGTCAACATGCGTCTGACGCATGCGTCGGAGTTCTGCGCATTATTATACATTTTAACAGTTATTCTATATTTAAATATTGTTCTTGACTGCAGAACCTAATGATGGAACGTACCTAGTTCCAAAACGTCGTAATTAAACATCTACAAAAAAACTTATTATTTTTTATTCATTGGAGTGATTGTTCGGAAAAAAACATTTATCAACTTATATATATATATATGTTACGGTAAATGTGCACTCTCGGTGAATGTGCACATTCACCGGTAAATGTGCACATTCCCCAAAACGCTAGGTGATATGGCGTGTTCTCAAACAATCAAATTAAAACAATGGTGTACGTGCGTACTTGGATCGGTCTTATGAACATCTCGCGTATTTAACGCATGCGCAATAAAGACTATGCGCGAAATACGTCAAGCATGTTACAAATTTTGTACCAAAATGGTGATAAATGATTAATAACATTCTGTTGAAGATTTGTTCATTTTGATCAAGATATATAATAGTAGTTGAATAGTAAAGTAGTGAATCGTAAATAGTGATAACTGAATAGTTAATAGTAAATAGTGAATAGATATTAGCAAATAGGGAATCATTATTAGTAAATAGTGAATTAAGAATAGTTAAATAGGTGATAGTTAATGGTTAAATAGTTAATAGTTATCAATTAAATAGTTAGTAGGGCATAGTTAATAGTTAATAAATAAATTGTTAATTCGTCAAGAGGAAGAAAGAAGGGGAGGAGTAGGCAGGGGAAAGGCAGAGGACGAAAAAGAAGGAAGAGAAAGAGAAGAGAAAGAAAGAGAAAGAGAAATAGAAAGAGAAAGAGAAAGAGAAAGAGAAAGAGAAAGAGAAAGAGAAAGAGAAAGAGAAAGAAAGAGAAGAGAAAGAGAAAGAGAAAGAGAAAGAGAAAGAGAAAGAGAAGAGAAGAAAGAGAAAGAGAAAGAGAAAGAGAAAGAGAAAGATAAAGAGAAATAGAAAGAGAAATAGAAAGAGAAAAGAAAAGAGAAATATAAATAAAGATAAATATAAATATAAATATAAATAAATAGAAATATAAAATAAATAAATATAAATATAAATATAAATATAAATATAAATATAAATATAAATATAAATATAAATATAAATATAAATATAAATATAAATATAAATATAAATATAAATATAAATATAAATATAAATATATGAATTAGTATTTCACCCGCACGTGCGCACGCGCGCGAGTTGAACTCACATTCGCCAAATGAGCTGGTAAATGTGCACATTCACCGGTGAATGTGCACATTCACCGAAATATGCACATTTACCGTAACATATATATATATATATATATATATATATATATATATATATACTAACTGACCCGGCAAACGTTGTTTTGCTAAGTAAGGTATTTCTAAACAATTTCTAGAGAATAAAAAAAAGAATACTTTATTTTAGGAGAGTAAGGATGTGTAGTTTGAATGGTATAGACAATGAGGTATTATAAACACAATAAACTCCAAAGTCTACTTGTATAATAATAAATTATATAATTCATAATAACAATATTCGTTTGTCCATACTTTGTTAATACAATCAAACTGGAAGTTTATACTTTCTATAAAAATATGGTATAATTCAATCCAAGTCTTTTTTAGTCTTTAGCCGCGGTCAATGTTCAGTTGTTTATTTTTGCCCCACACAGATGTGAGTTTTTAAAGTGGTTATATAAAGAAAACTGTTGAATCTCAGTCAAAATTAACATTACATTTTATAAAACAATTAAATAGTTAAAATTTATATTAAGGTCTTGTGAACTAAATCACAGTACTCACAACCCAAAAAACTAACAACAAAAGGAAATACTTTTGTTATGGATTTTCAAAAATTAATGTTTATCTCCCGATAGCAGGGTCATAAGAATCAAGGTTATAGCTAGTTAAGGTAAACGTACACTATTCCGGGATAGTACATTATTACGGGAGTTTTTCATTTTGATCGCAAAATAAGAAAACGGTCAATAAATAATTTATTCAACAGCACATCAATTATAATTTGAATCCTAATAAAATAGTACGATTTTCGAATTCAAATATTAGTTTTTAAGCCGTAAAAAGCTTTTGAAAGCATCGGTCGTAACCCGATCGCCATTTCGTACTGGCTTGTTAGCGAGTTAGGTTATGTGACGGTCCCATTGCAAGGTTTTTATTTGATTCCGATAAGCTTAATCGATTCAAATGTGTGAAATTTTTGATCAGTAATAATAAGAGATTAGTTTTATAGTTAAATCGAGCATATATTTGTCAAGAAATTATCAATTTCATGACTTCCGTAATTAGGTTCACACAACTGAACAAGTGAACCTAATTCCGTGAGTATCCCGCAATTACGAGAAGCAGACTTGAAATAGTTTCATCTTTTATTTTCAACTGTGCTTAAATTCGGCGGTGTTTCTGGTGTTATTAAGTTTGTTAATGACTACAGAATACTGTAAGGTAATTACGGTATATGTTTTTTTTTAAGTTTTAACCCTAATAATTGAGTTTGAAATGACTACTCTTCAGTAAGAAAGTACATGATTTTTTTCACTTATTTGCATTGTTCCAATATACCTAGAATATTGTAGTAATGAGAGTATCATTTATTTCTACCTTTTCATCTATGATCAATTATTTCTATTATATAAATTGAATAAAAATACAGTTATACCCCGTATAGCGCACGGTACTTATAGGTCGCGGATTTACTAGGGCGCTGGTATGTATGTATGTATGCAGAGATCTAGGGACATTCTTGTTATCACGATGGTTTTAATCCGATTAAGCTTTTGGAATATAACCATTATATAACCTGCATATAATTAAAACAAACATACATCGTAAGTTATTAAATTAATATGAATTGCAATTACTCGAAAATAAGATGCCGAGGCTACTCTTCAACGCAGTAACTTTCTAATCGTCTAATACAATTTATTAAATATTATTAAAATTATATTCAAGGTCAGTAAATTTATTTGGGTATGATTTCAAATCGGACTTTTAGTTTTTCAAAGAACGATGGCTCCAATTAAATATTCACCCAAAACCCTGAAAAAAGGCTTTAAAAGAAATTTGCCATATTATATTAAATGTATTTTAAAGCTTCTAAAACAAAATTCCCAATCAAACCTAATTTGAGCTAGTAGTTATTGTTAACTTGAAAGTCTTTAAAGATTATTGTAAAGTCTTTAAAGATTTATGTTTGTTGACAGAATTGTAACTTTTATTACAAGTTTAATTTTTTTACTTTGAGTTTAAATTTTATATTTATTTTAAGTTTATATTTTTGTTTAATTGCCGTTAAAAATTATTCCTTTATTGTTTCATTGATTTGATTTACCGAAACAGTATTGATAATGATAATTATACTGCTATTACTATAATAATACCAGCTTTTATTTTATTTTTATTTTAGAAGTTTTTTAACTTCTTATAATTTTATGACTTTTATAAAACTAAATAAATGTTTAAAATCATATCAAAGTATTATTTCATAATTAACCGCACTTTTTATAACCCTTTTTTATAACTATATTTATCAAGGCAATACGATCAAAAATGTAAGCATCGTGCGCTATCACGGAATAACGTACAACGACTCCC